TTGATATATTTACGGTAGGAAATTTACAAAATATCTTCATGGAACATGATATTTACTTAATATCCTAATGATTTTGGCATAAAAGAAAATTATTTAATTTTGACCCATACAATGTATTTGTGGCTATTGCTACAAATATACCCCAGCGACTTTTGTGCTCCAGGGTCACTTATGATAAAACCCACTGACTTTCATTTTATGGGCAAAAAGAGTGGAAGCATTCTTCAAAATAAAGTATCTGCAGAAGTAAGAAAGTTATACAGATTTGGAAGGACATGATGGTGAGTAAATGATAACAGAATTTTCGTTTTTGGGTGATGTTTTTAATGTTTTAAAAGATTTGATGAAAATCATATTCATTTTGGAATATTATTTTTTTTTCTTTTATAATAGTATTAACTGATTTCAATTAACTACTTGCACACAGTCCTTAAACACACAAAATATTTAATGAAATCCAATGATTTTTATTTATTTATTTTTTAACAAATGTGGTTTAGTTTTGCTATGAGCTGTTCCTAATATCAGATATGACACGTTAGGGACAATCTGATGCTCTCTGCACATGCCTTACTTTCATTATCAATTCCTTTATATTTCTTCCCAATTTTTCCTTTTGTTCTCTACCTATTGATAATTAATTGTTGATTTCATCTTTCAGTACATTCCCTGGTGCCATCACAGTATGAGCCAATGTTTCTTATTTTTTGCATGTATTCCACTCGCTACAGATTAATTGTTGGGGAACCGTGCTGTAGAACTGTAAGGGAGCTATTTGATGACTATTTATTACACCCTGGCCTGAAAATCAAACAGTACTCCCTTCCCATAAGCCTTTGCCTATACCCCATCATGCGTCTTATCCATCTCATCTCTTCAACACCATATGTGCTTTGTTTGACTCTCCAGACAGCATGAAAAAAAAGGCCTTGTCCACCTTCTCCAGACCACTCCAGCCTGCCTTTGATGGGATTAGATCCCATGGTGACGTCATCTGAAAGCTCTGTATAGTAAAAATAAAACCCCTTTTTAAAGTCAGCCATGACAGACGTGGAATTTGATCCTCTTCCTGAGGAGCGCTAATGCATGTAAGACAAGGTGAAATTCAAGAATTTAAAACGTAAGTATAAACAAACAATTGGTTAAGGGCACGAGATGGGAAGCGCAGAAGGATTGGAGGATAAGTGCTGTGTTTTGATTACCCCTGGGCAGATTTGAAAAGTGTGTATGAATGGCACTTTCCATGAATACTGCACAAAATAGTTCTTTGTTCAGAAAAGGGGTGCTTTAGAAATATTTTTAATTTTTTTATTTTTTTGCAACAAACATTGGTAACACTTTACTCAAAGCCTTTATAATGCATTATAAATGTAGTTTTAATGCATTAATTTTGCCTTGTAACGCGCACAGAAAGTATAGTGCATTGAAATACATAACAAACAAACCTTCAAATATTATAATGTATTTTAACTTTGGTTACAATTATTTATGAAATGATATAATGCATTACAACCCACATTATGAATACCTTTATAATGCATTATACATAAAGGCTTTAAGTTTAGTGTTACCCAAATGTCCAATAAGCATCAACATTCAATACAAATTCATACATTAAAAAAGGATAACAGAGTTGCACATTTAGATTAATTTCAGCTCTCAATAGCTAGTTTGGGACCAAAACGTTGGGTTGTAGTTATTGATCAACAAACCTATATTTTTATTTTATGGTAACCTATTTAAACATTTTTATTTCCTAACTCATTTGATTATTCTTTCTGACAGTGACTTGCATAACAGGGTTGAGTTGTTAAGATTGGCAAATGTGCCACACATTTAGTAACAAGGTTTAGTTACAAGTTTAGTAACAAAGTTGAACTGATAAACTGGGAAAATGTGCTAAACAATAGGGTTGCAAACAAAATTTGTGACATAGCTGAGTTTCATAAATACATTGAATTAAAATAAATATCATTATGTCAAATGTATGACATTATTGAATGATTTTTATTATTTATTTAATTTAATTTGGCAAATAGTCAAGAAAGTCAAAAAGTCTGGGTTGGGAATGACTAAATGCACCATTTTAAGGAGAGTTACAGTATGGACATTCAATGCGTTTAAAAAAACCTTATAGTATAATAGTACCTAATGTATGTGTATAGAAGACACAGGCTAATAACTTGCAGACGATGTGGATTGGCCCTCTCTTTGCCTTGCCTCATGCTAACTGTCATTCCCAGGGGGCCGAGGGTCACCTGTCTATCAGCAGCAGAAATATGACCATTTATGTCATCAATTTTCTCATTTGTACTGAAGGCAGCCGCTCGTTAGCTGTGTGGCAGTGCTGAGCGATGACGCAGTGGTCACTGAGGCCAGGCCACCGAGTTTACCATGCATTAGCTCACTGCTCGCCTTTAATCTTTAATGAAAGGAGCCCGTCAGTTAAGATGAAGACATCAGTTAGCAGAAATTAAAACCGTACAGTGAGCTGCACTTGAGTCGTTTAATTTATAAACTTACTGACTGCTGCACTGAGTCTTACCAAGATGAATTCCTTGTGCAACTGTGAAGAAAACGGCAACGAAATTATTTTGTGGTACGTTGTGTTTTCAGATGTGCATTTCAGATTTTCTCCACTGAGATTATCATTTCAATACGATAATGTGTAATGGGGTGAAACTCATGAAACTTGTAAAGAATTTAGATTTTGCACATTTAAGGCATTATGCATACTGTACATATTTTTTCATATAACTTATAAGATTCATAGAGTTAACAATCTAAAACATTACTTAGCAGAAGTTACCCAAAGCGACTTCCAGTACACCAATTGCTGCAATCATATGTAACATTATTCATTGTCGTTAAGGTATTCGAAACCGGAAATGAGATACAGATGGACACTCAAAGCAATTTTCCTCTCTTAACGTCTGTCTTTTTCTACCTCACACACACACAGATCTGAGTGCATTACCCTGATTGCAACACTTAATGGAGTCACAGTCTTTCCCATGGGTGACCACCATCTCAACAAATCCACATGAGGGCAAAGGTCAGGGTGAATGTCACTTCCATGACTGTCTTAAAAGCCCGGCTGCATCCTAAGAGCGAGCTAATGGAGATCTGGAGTTTGTATAGGAGTCTGAGCCAATAAATATGTCACAATGTCATGTCATCTGTCGCTCATTTGTATTTATTGCAGTGTAATTGCGCCAGAGGTTTGACATACAGTGATGAAGGCCAGCAAAAGCACTTTTAGATATTGGCATCACTAGTATTCCCTAGGCCTTTGCTTGTACAACTTTTCTTAATTTCCTTCTGCTACAAACACAGCTACGCAATCTAAAGAAACTACATAAGGAATCACATCTGTCAAGAGTTTGAGAGTTGTGGAAAAAAAAATCTGAAAGACAACCAGTTCAGCTGTAGCTTGAATTTTGACAGCAAGAAGAAAAAAAAAAAAACTTCACTAATCAAAAACATTGTGACTAGTTGGTTGACTGATCATATATATTGTATACAATCAGCTCATCAATCAGCAGTTGACTCATTTACAATAAAAAGAGTCTCATGACCAACCTAGAAAATAATATTTTAAATGTAATAAAAAATCCTTTAAAGAACATTTAAGATGCAGTTTATCCAATTACTGAGTGTAGTAAAGTAAAGTGATCATCATTCACAACAATATTATCTGCTAAACTTATTTCACCTCTAACCATTTTAACACTTACCCAGCTGCTTCTCTTAAGACCTTCTTGGATTCCAGCTTCTAACCTCCAAGG